CATGGTTCTGCTATGTAATTGTATGAGATTGTCGTGTCATTTTATCTGTTTTTATTTTCATTTTTATACCTTATTAATACATGTTAATAATCTGAATTAGAAATTTGCTTTATATACTGTTCTTAACTGTATGTTATGTATGGTTTAAAACACGAGAGACAGTGCCCGTCATCATTCGTTATTCTGCTAAATTTCTTGGTAAAATATGCTTCATGGTTATTAAACTTCTATAACTTTGCGTGTATCATAAAACAATGCGATAATGAATAGTCTAAGGTGAGTTATACACGTCAGCAAGGGTAGGGTCTCCTCTTTTGTAGTCTTCCAGAAGCGTATGTCCCAGTTTGTACATGTCCTTCGCTCCAGGTGATGAAAAAGTGTAGGTTGAYTTCTCATAAGTACGGATAGTAAGATAGTTACTAGTGTCAAAACGACCACCTTTAATCTTCATGTATTCAGGGCTATGAAACAAAAGCATAGTATTAATCACACTTATTGACCATCTGCACGATGATGTCATTTTACTATCAAGACTTATCAAATCTAATTCAGAGTGTTATTCCTTTCTTGGGGATCAGTAAMTAACATCTGACGCTCATTACATTAMAAAAGACACAGCAAAGCATTATGGGCTTGCTAGTATAAGAACCAGTGTTCCTTTCGGCATGCGTGCGACGGAGAACGAGCCGTAAGCCGAAAGTCCCGCGGGCTCTGAGTTCGATATATATATATATATATACCTGTCGTTTGTTATGCTTGCAATGTGCTCAAAGAGAATGTTCAAGAAGAAGGCTCCTTTTGATTTCTTTTTTGTGGATAGCAAGTCCACACCACCACTATGAAAAAACAGACGGACAGGTCCTTTTGGAAGTTTTGGACCGGAAATGAGATTGGCGTTAAAAATCCTGGAAAAATCTTTTTGCCAGGCTTTCTTAGAGCAGGCTAAGTTGACAACGTCGATTTTGGACATGCCTGATTCAGATAAACTTACGATGCTTGCCGTCTGGAATGAAATGAATTGAAATGAAGGAAAAATACATAACAACAAAAAAAAAAATATGAAAATGGAACAAAATTACGTAACAAACTTAAGGAAAAGAAAGAAGTTTGGCCCTAGAATTACAGAAGAACAAAGGAAAATAAGTGATTACCGACTGGAACTTTGTCTGAACTAGATGCGTGAGCTCCATATGTTGTTGGTAGTCTTGGTTAGGCGGTCCACCATTTTCGACAATATTACCAAGATTTTCATCAGTCATAATTTTACCGTACTCGACGTAATATCGTTTGGCCAACAATTCAGCYAGTTCGTTATTCTAAATAAACACAGTTCGTTATTCTAAATAAACACACATATAATGATGATTGAATGCGGTATTAAAATGGTATAGTGAACATCACAGTAGGAAAAGCATTACAGTCTTGAGCTCAATATTTCACACACGGGTCACTGTCTTATGAGATAGAAAATTAAATAAATGTTCAGAATTTCTTTGTACGCAGGCATGTTTATCAATAAARACTGCTTCTTCTGCGTATATGTGCAGAAGAAGCASTCTTYATTTATAATTRAATAWATGTTTAAGAAAAATACTTACATCAGTGCAGTGATATTCTCCCACATGGATGCCACCCATAATTTGCCAGTAGATAAGATTGGTTTCAACTGGGTCACTTGCAGCATTGTGACTGGACAGAAACACGTCTTTTCGAACGAAAATAGTCCAATTGTGACGTTCTTCTTCTGAAACATGCTATCAAAGATCCAAAATATTTTGAAATATACTTGTCTATATTTCCGCGACTCTATTTTCATGCCGTTTTATTTTGARATAGACAATGCATGTATGTATTTGACAATAAGGTCTCGAGGGCGAGTGGTCTAGCTACGAGTTGATAGCCAATCAGGCGTAGCCAATCAGAACTAAGGATTTGCAATAGTCAACTAGTTTGGTAATACTAATACTGGTAKCTATTAATTACCTTGTAAATGGCATACTGTTCACACAAAGAAATTAAATCCATAATGCAATCACTACCACAGCCCCAGTTGAAGACCTGAAATATTAGTGAACCAATAAACCATCTATAAATATTAGAGTAACAAATCAGGTGAATTAATAGATGAAAAAATGAGACTCAACTAAAAATCAACATGCGTGTCGTGTATAGGCAAAGTTTTTGGCTATGGATAAATGCAATGACTGAACACTAACCGAAACCTTTCGGAAAATCTTTATTATAATGACCAGAGCAATGCCTTTTCATATTTCTTTGATGACTATCAGTTTAAATGAATACGTTTTGCTTTGTTAGTTGTTTTACCTATAAAACACCTTTTTTTACCTATAAGTGTCCAGGATGTAACTACAACGAAAGCAGATCAGGGCCCCTTCATAYTTCAAGATACTTCATACCACTAAGTTTAAATTGACCCCTTTTCGTCCATTCATATATGTAACGCATGTATTTTGCACACGATTATTCAGCAAACTTATAAAGTGCTATTAATTTAACTATTTTCAAACTAAATGTGATCATCAAAACTTTTCTCAGAAGTAAATAGATTTTGACACTTGCCTCTTCAAACTGCTTTGCAAACACTGAAAATCCAAAAATGTTTTTCAGTCCCAATTTACTTTGGAAATCTTTCAGCAGCTCCTCGCAAGTGGTTGAAGAATCCACCTCGAATTCGTACGTCTTTGAGTCCATTGTAATGATGGGTATCATGATTTTTCCTTCCATTTTCGCTGCGCCGAGCTCTAGCGAGGCAGGTGCAAGTTTTCGACATCCAATAGCCATTGTTCTCATGAGCTTGTTCTCGCAGAATTCAGCGTAGCCTTCGGGTCCTTGTCGCAGGAAGTTTCGAAGATAATTGATAAACTGAGATAAAGACAAAATTTCCGAATCAATGAATTGTATACAAGATAAACAACAGAAATTGTACCAGCAAAGCAACACAATGCGCAAAGGGAGGAAAACAAACTAAATTTTTCAAAAATACGTTTTTATTATATTTGGTATGTTTATGCGCGCTCTTGGAATGGACGAGAACCGCTTGTAGATGCGCTATGATTGGTCAAAGCCAGTGCGCTTGTTGTCCTAATTCATTTACGATTGTTTCGGGGAGAAAAATAAAAARATATAAACACAAATATAAACTTCATACAAAATACCAAACAACAACAAAAAGGTTCAAAATGGTTACCTTCTCAGAGGGAGGGAAGCAACCCAAGCAGACAGCCAATATAATCCATCCTCGTGAAGTGCTGGTCTTCGAGGGATTGTTCGTTAATTGCATACATATCTGACTATAGATTTCATCTCTATTACAGAGAAACAAATTTAGTCTCAATACTTCACAAAACTCTGCCCTAAACTCAATTTGATATTCATTAYATTTTGCTGAACATTACTATTTTACCTCAATTCTTGGCAATAGATACCATAGCTACAGATAAAGCGAACTTTCTCCATATTAGTTGTTGGTTTTGACATACTTGATAGGTGAGGGATACTTGTCCACCCAGGCATCTKAAGAAATGGTGGTGTTAAGAAATACTACATGGGATTCTAACCTTTCACTTCTTAAATCTCAACTTTGTAKAAATAAATACCGTCGAATCCTACGCTTAGCTAGGAAATTCAATTTCTTTGCAATTTTTATATATCCGACAAAATTAAGCACCATGATATTGAACTATACTTATAATTATTCTATAATAATTATTATTATAAATATAATTATTCATGGTATCATTATGGTATAGACTGGAGTGAAACAATAATGTAAGTGGATTGATCATCGCAGTGCTGCAATACACTTTGTTTATATTTCACTGCGATAATCATTTCACCTGCATCAACAATTGGTCATCATGCATATTCAAGAAACTTTCTAAACAATAATTATACCAATTCGGAGGTAGATTGAATCTGACCTTCTTGTATGCAGTGTATCATGAACCAGAGATAAAAGAATTGTCTACATAYATAATTTACCTTGACTGAGTCAATTTTACGCTTGAAAGTTCCTTCGCCAAAGTCGCTGTTCCTTGCCAGAGTTCTCAAAAACACATTATCCTACGAACAATAGTGTATCTGTTAAGGTAAAATTTTGATACGCTGGTGTCCCTGTATTCTGATCGATCTACTACTTTGTCTATCTGAACCTTATATAACCCAACTCAATTATAGGCGAGTGGCATATGAACGTAACATTGGAAAAATGAGTAATTTTGATATCCTCCTCGATAGCGCAATGATGACATATCTTACCTCTTCATCGGGCATAGAGTCGGTAGGCTCTGGTAAATCAAACATGAACCTTTGAATGACATGGAATATTGTCAAGGCAGCCTGACCGTAAAGAAAAAAAACAACTGGACGTCATGTTTCGTTCTTCATATCAAAGATATAGCTTTTTTCTTACTTCCACTATATAGAGAAACCTCGAATGTGCTATTTTCACTAGTGAAAATAATTAAGTGAAGTCTTCACTCATAAGTAATGAATGATAATGGATATACTTTGTAGCTTTTGAGACCAAACTATCTCGTTGAAACAACGTAAAAAARTGCTCTTCTTTTAAATCTCAAAGTATCCTAAAATCTTGTACCAAATGGTTGACAATAATTCCCCTCCACTTCAACAGAACGCTCGTTCCATCCCCAAGCTCCCTTCCTCCAAAACCGTGTTGTTGGTAACCCAAAGAACATTCAACAAGTATATGTGATCTCTGAGCGATGGGGGATGGGGATTGCAAGCAAATATACGAATTAATTTTCAATAGGCGATATGCATTATGGCGTCATTGACTACAACTACCAGAATGCTTTGCCAACTTTCTTTTGTAATGCAATTAGTGCCAATTGTTTTATTAATCTCCAAGGGGATCTGTCCAAGATAGTCAAAACTGCTTTGATAGGTGTTGGGGTAATGGAACAAAAACAATCAAAAACAAATTGGGATCATGACTGACTAAGTCCATTTATCGAAATTCGTTCACTTGCCTCGTAGTTGTGTTCATTGTCTTGGAGATGTAAAGGCTTCTGAAGAGAGCCCCTCGTGTGTGAGGAGGGTGAGCCCTCACGGTAGTTATCACGTGCATATTTTATAAATGTGTACTTAGAGAGATCATCGGACTCTTCCATTGGTGACAACTGAATGGATAATGATAAATAGTTAAAAAATGGTCTATTTAACAAAGCCCTTCACTGACCCGGGAGCTGTTCATGTAGAGGGCTCTATCATGGAGCGTACACCAGCAATCATGTCAGAGGAGTGGTCAGGTCTAGCACACTAASAATGACTACGTGTGACAGTGACTATGGCAATCTTTAATTGTTGATATTATGCCACGTTGATGATATTCTATGAATCAAATACAGTCAATTCCATCAACGATGTTCAATTGTAAAGATATAAAGACGCAAAAACAAAGTCATTTACATATTTCACATTTATGTGGAGTAACGTACTCCGCCTGATATCATATATTTCACATTTTAGATATTAAAAAAAATATATTCCTGAGCATCCTGAAGTTGCAACATCATTACAATGTCAATATTATTCAATTGGAATTGAAGTTGGAGCTTTAAATTTAAATCCTTCAAGGAATTAAAAAAAAACTGATATTTTTATACGCAAATCACTTTGTTGTTGTTCTTCACCTTTAATTAAGCAATAAACGATAGTTTGAAACGGTTTACTGGCGAAATAAACCGCGCGGGATGGTTKGGAGAACACGAGAAAAGCCGGCGAGTGATCTACCTTTTCAATTTACCTTTTCGAGCTTTTATATTATGGCGTCCGCAATTTAGACTCAAAAGTCTTTTAAGACAAAAGTCTTTCAAGACAGCAGACTAGTTACCGGCGAAATAAACCATATAGCTTTTCCCATAAAATACGCCAAGTCGACGCGCGTGTTAGAATTGAGCTATAATATAAAACTAAACAAAGTTGATGAGATTGACTGTATATAACAGTCGAATGTGGATTAAAGTCAAACTTACGTGCTCAATGTTTGACGACATCTTATAACCTGAAAAGTAGAAAGAAAAAGGCAACATATTATCAGTAGTAGTCCTACAATCTTTTATTCGTTGTACATGGACCATTCAGAATAGAAGCAGTGAGCTAGCCCAAATGAAAATTCCCACTGAAATGAGCATATTCTTGAAAGAAGAATAACTGTACACTCGTTCAAAGATGGGTTTTAATCGACTGAAAACGTTCCTCTTACTCTGTTCGCCATTTTGAGAATAGCAAGCAGAGAAGCCCTGGGAACAAGTTTGGGAGAAATGAAGAGAAAGAACGATAGAATGAGCTTATATATAATGCGTCATTTTTTTATAGTAATATGCAAATATCACAACCAAAGATGTGTCACAGATTTCAAAAAGGCTTATTCGTCTAAAGTTGAAGATAGATTTATTGAAAATCAGAAGTTTTGGAGTGGCATATAAGTATATCTAATAATTACTTATCAACGTTAAAAGAAGACATCTAACGCTTCTTTTTAGCATTTACAACTCTAAGTTAATAAAATTCCAATCTAATGCTGCAAGTACTGAATAAAATCACTTCGATCATGAAAAGAAAATCATGACAAGAAAATGCACAAAAGCTRGAATTATGWAGTCTGACTGAAAACAAATAAAATGATACTGATTCATGCCAAGATCGATACKTTTGAGCGTTTTATGGAGGTGACCGAGGATAAAATCGTATATAAATCAAAGCATTGCTATGTTTAACTATGATTATCTTGCATTATATTGGTATAAAAATTGTATTTAAGTTAATCAAGAAGTACTTTTACCTATAATGATGATTTTAATCGTATGAGGAAGTAGCTGATCCCATTAAAGAGTGCTCAATACATAAAAAGTGTAGAGCTAGTTATATATATGATATCAAAGAGGCAAGAGTTACGGCAAAATCTTGCCTCTTTGATATCATATATATAATGATGATTTTATTAATTGCTCATATTGGTTAATATTGGTTTGTATTGATACTGACTCAACTGGAGACAATAGAGAAAACCCTTGTTTCTTTGCATCTGAATCGTGGTAGTTATAAGGAAGAGATACCATCAGACGGCAATATTTCAGGTCTGTTCTCAGTTTCTTTCTGGAGCCTTATATCTCCATGTAAATTAGTAGTTACTTACCAACGTATTGCGATCTATCAGCGCTAGTCCTTTTTGTCCAGCAGCCTTTTTGGTAGACAATATTGTAATTCTGTCAAGAAACTTCGATCGGATTCRATAATATATCGCTTCGTCAGTCAAGTAAAAAGAAAAATGATTGATATGGAATCTCAATCACTAATTATAATCTCAAAATGTTATAAATGCAAAATTTAACATGAGGATTCCTTATCAAGTATGCTTCTTTAAGTTTCAAAATCATAAGATTTATTTTTTTTGCAACTTTGGTTATAAAATAGTCACTGTTCAGGGTAATGAACACGTCACTGAATTCCAATAATATATTCATATGCAAATGTTGCACAATACTTGCAAAGGAATGAAAATCAAACGAATTCCACACATATCAATAATCGGGCTACTGTATTGTACTATTTACAATATCTTTGTTGTTTTTTTCAAGGAGAAACAAGATTTAGTTAACACATAGAGGAGTTTGTACAAGTTTTTGAATCATGGGTAATCAGGACGAGATTACTAAGAGGCGATGGGGAAAGAAATACTTTTTACCCATGATTCAACAACTTGTGTAAACCCCTCTATTGTCTCGAGTATTATCCTCCACACTAAATGGTCGTCAACGGCTTCAAATTTTTAATAGACTACTACACACTAATAGTTACTATTAAACACTGACTAGAGTAATTGTTTCACAGACGGATATAAATGTCTCTAGATATGGAAATTGTACACGTTCACTGGATTGAACAGTTAGTTCCAAATTTCAGAYAATTGCGTATATTTGCGAATGATTTTGCATACTGGAACTTACCCGTCGAGGTTCGTGCCTGTAATCCCTGAAACGGTTTCTTATTGGATGTTTCAGTGCATGCGCATTGAAGTTCTTTTGGACACTATTTGGAATCTCATTCAAAAGGGTTTAATAATATACAGTTAAAATATCGACGAACAACACTACGGGAAGAGCATTTGATATKAACTAAAAATTTGAAAACGCAATTGAGGCTAACGCAGCGTAATAGTRGAGATCGCGACACTCAACTATTTATACAAATCTTAAACACATTATAATAACAAAATAATTGTTATCATAGTATGTGATTATACTTTTCTTTAATATTCATTTGGAATACACGTGGAAGCCGTCCAACTGCAGTGTGATCGTGTTGCCAAGGAATATTTGTTCACTTATTTGAATGCTTGACGTTACGCTTATTGTCATTCTAGAGTAAGACACAGATTTACATTTCAATGGCGCATCAAAAACAATCGCTTTATCGCGAATCAATTGCCAATTCGACGATAAACTAAGATATGGTTAAATGTAATGAGTGATTTAGTAGGAACGTCGAGCTGAGAAGACTACATCCCTTTTGTAAAAAATACATTTGTTGTAGATATATGTGTTTTAATTGAAACGCTCTGTTTTCCATCACTATACAACAGAYTCACTGGGAAAAATATAAGATTCTTTACAAAGCAAAAGACAAATGGCTATTGTAAAGGTAAAGTAAATCAATCAATATTCTTGTTTAGTTTTCTAAATGTTTAAACGTATTTAAAGACGCTCGTTTCTAGCTGTAAACAAGATAYAGCACTGATCGAAACCTGCTTTCTGATTGCTCCCTAAGTACAGCAGTTTGATTGTTAGGTTAGTTTTYTATTTACTATTTTTGATTCACTGTTTTTAAGACTTTTCGATCTACTGTTTTTCTGTTGGTTGTTTTACCAAGCTATCATGGGATTCAGTTTTGTAAAAAGTATAAATTTAACACCGTAAAAAGTATGTGAAATAACTTACTGACGTTTCGCACGTTAATCCTGAAGGCGTCCGAGTAAAGAGATTCGTTCCGATTGGTCCTGACTGTTTCCTAAAAAGTTTATATTATGTCTGAGTATTCGCCGGGGTTAGTTCTTCATAATACTCAAGTATTTAGGGTTGAATTTATTCGATGCGATTTTCGTGCACGACTCTTGTAGTATATGAYTCAAAAAAGAACAAGAAGAAAAAAATAGGATCAAATCGTGTCTAAGTGCCTCTAAAACTGTGACGTGACGTATGACATATATTACGGTCAAGGCAGAGTCAAGGATTGCAAATCCTACGACTAGTCGTAGTAGGAAAATGACGTATTTTTTTCGAAATTAGGACTGGAACTGGTATCTTTTCTGTTTAGGATAGGGTATAGTCTCATTGTCTGTGGTAGGGTGGAGTTTTGCCTTTGATCGTATCTGCTAGTCCACGCTTTCAGCGCTAAAATGATGTACCTTTAGTCTGGGGTAGGGTATGTAAAATCACAAAAATTGGTCTGGGATAGGGTTGAGGGTTGTGCGGCACACCCCCACCGAAGTTGGGATTGAGTACCCCCGCCCTCCAGGGGAATGGTACCTACGAGTGTCGTAGGACAGCAGGACACTGAAGGTCATAGGCTAAAATTGTGTCGTGTAATTCGGGTGTTAGTTCCCAGTGCCATCTTGATAGAGAGGCAAGTCTTTGCATCAAAGAAATACAATGGCTGAGCTTGGATAATCTGGAATTATAAGTACTTGTGAATAATTGTCCTATGCTCAATAAAAAATATCTATCCCAGAAGATTTTGATGCGAAGACTTGGATACCTCTCAAGATTGCGCTGAAAAATGTCAAATCATTTATTTCAATCAATTTTTTAAACCTTTTATTTCCCTTGGTTATAGCATTCATTAATTCCTGATTGGCAAAATAAATTATAAACTGAATTAAAAGATAGTTTTACTGAATGTCCAATTATTCTTCCAAATTTTATATAATTCCCGTTTTCATGTTCAGATCATTTCTTTGTTAAAACTGACAAGAATTTGGAGGATGTTCATCCGATGTCTATTGTTTGTTGTCATGGTTTTCTATCACAATAATAATAAGCAGTACTCTAATCATTTCTTAACTAAATATTCTGCGGTTCTTTTTTAGACCTTGCCTTTTGTGAACATATTTCGAGGTAAATTGCGCCGAAAGACAATGTACCTTGGCATTATAACATTTTTAGCACTACATATTTGGTGGCACAAGGGTAGAGGTAAGGCATAGAATCAACCACACCACACCACACCACACCACACCACACCACACCACACCACACCATACCACACCACACCACACCACACCACACCACACCACACCACACCACACCACACCACACCACACGTTGGTCGTTGACAACAGTTGTATAGTTTGAAATTGGTCAGTCATTGATAACAATTGCATGCAAATACTATGCACTGTAACAATGAAGTCAGCAAATATCGACTTCAAAGCCACGTGACACGTGACGTGTCTTATTTTTTTGATTTCAAAATCTTGTTTGCTTTACAGATAATATGCACTGTCACAATGAAGTCAGCCAAATGGRCTCAAGGGAAAAGTGTAGCTACATGAAACCGGTTAACTCCTTTGATCGACCGATAGTTGGCTGTACGACCACTGGTCGACTTATCTATAAAGATGTCACAAGGGTGATGGGAACAGGACTGAAAAGGAAAGGTAAGTCAATAATCAGAAACGTTTTAGCATGAAAAAATCTAATCATTAAAGTTGGATGAATATAAGAAACATTGATTTGTATTGATACAGTACTTCTGGTTCCGTCCTTGGTAAATTTTTATAGTTTACTGTCCCTATTTTGCATATCCTCCCGTTTCATTAGTGCCCTGGATGCAGCTTATCTCAGTGGACAAAGATATATATGAATATATAGTAGGATGAAAGCACCCACTAAAAGGGATCCGCTCATTTAATACCTTCTCTTTTTGGCGACCATATTCAATCATGAGCCATGCCATATTTTAGTGAAGGTACACCTAAAATCTCTTAAGTGTAGAGGTAACACGGAAGAACTATTAATTTACCTACCTCATATTGACAAGAGGCTTTAAAATTGATTAATTTACTAATTTGATGATAACGTTTATTGCAGCATTCCTGACAATAGGAATTCCAACCATTGAACGAGTCTACAAGAACGTCACCGCATCCTACTTAGAAAAAACTCTGGATATCATATTGTCGCGATTAACGCTTAATGAAATGAAACAAGTTCATATCRTTATATTCCTTGCTGATCTAAAGAAACAAGCAAGAGATAATGTAAARAAACAACTGGCCAGWAAATATCAACARCTWATTGACATTAATTTYATCAACGTGATCGAAGCACCAAGGACGTTTTATCCCAAACTGAAGGGATTRGTCAGAACKTTTGGTGACTCACAAGAAAGAATGTACTGGCGTTCAAAGCAAAATCTGGATTATGCTTTCTTGTTCAATTACTGTGATGGCCTTTCTGAATATTACCTTCAAATAGAAGACGACGTCACAACCTCGGAAAACTTCCTCTCTACTATCAAACAATGCATTGAGCAACATAGACATTCCAATTTAGCTTTTATAGATACTAGTGCGTGGGGTTTCATTGGAAAACTGTTTAGGAATGAAGAGCTAGATTATTTTGCACGAGTGCTRAGAATATTTTATAACGATATACCGTGTGATTGGTTGCTTCACCAATACTTACTCTTTCGCAGTGAACAAGCATCATACTATGATCATTTGTGTGGAGGTATATTTGATCATATTGGTAACCAGTCATCTTCTTTAGGAACATAGTCCGCAGGCCTCAATATGGACTCTAGACGTACAATCGTTGACATAATCCKTGGACCATTGAATTTCTTATCTTAGGAAACACCAGCAGACAATGTAGGTGTGGTATGATCGTCCGAGTTKGRGAAGTCTTGAGGAAGACTGTTTTAGTTACATTCTGTGTGTGGGTCATCTTCAGAGATCTTAACACACCGGCCTAAATCGCTTTCACCTGGGTTCAGACCATTCACTCTCACCAGCAAACAATTTCATCCCCATTACCCCTTTTAACACTTAAMAATGTTGTCATTGGGCATGTTATCACTCTACACAACCATCCAAAACTAGACCCAATATTGAGTAAGTTGGCTAAGGTGGASAGCTGTGAAAATATAAAGGAGAAAAAGGTTAGGCTGGAGACAAATAATTCTATCGTCCAAGGTATTTTGGAAACGATTGTAACATGACATACTCCATATGATTTATTTATATACAATTGGTTGATGATGCTGTTTGTGTCATTGGCATGTATCTGTCATAACTAAAGTTTTTGAATGGAATGATCTGGCTGGTGTTGAGTTATTGTACTTATTGTTTATAATAATTGAATTATTTTTTGAAAAGTATTTTACTTTAAAAAAGATTGTATTGTTGATTTTATGATAGTAGAGAGTTAGTTATACTCGTGAGCGTGACCGGAGAAATAAAATACGCTTTTGGACCAATCAGAGATCTCGTACTATTACATGTATATTATGATATGCGAGGAAGTACTCTTCAGGCATAATGGGTCGTTATTTTCAAATAATCATATTCTCATATCATTTATTATTTCATAATTTTTTTTATATTTTTTCTACGTAGTACATGTCGGGATGTCGGGATATTCAAASTACGATCTCCATCTCTAAAGTCCCTTTCAAAACCGTTACTCTATATATGAGGAATGGACAAAATGATGAGCGTGACCGTGAGGAAATAACAATGCATCTTTTTGACCTAWTAATTCGATAGAGGAATCACCCTTTGAGACACAATATAGAAATGAAAGAAAGTTACAGTSCTTAGAACGGGGCAATTCCCTCCTTCTAAGCACTATAACTTTCGTTCGTTTCTATATCATGTTGATCATAGTGCCATGCGGTYCTCACATCCATATCTTTACCCTTTGAGACAGTCCATCATGTTTATTCTAATTCTCGGAAAAAAAAAACAAAACAACAACAACAACAACAACAACAAAAAACAACAAAAAACAACAACAACAACAACAACAAAAAACAACAAAAAAGAAAAGAAAAAAAAAACAATCTAGGAAATTAGCACAGCAGCCTCAATTCTATCAAAAAAAACCCTGACAAATGAATCAATCGAAATTACTGACTGGAAATAGGCTTCATCTAAATTTGTTCTGGGTTTTGGGACTGCTGGGTGACGCGTTATCCAATTCTCGGCACTTTTCAATCACCATAGATTTTTCTTGAGACACTTTGCGTATGAAGGTGTGCAAGTTTGTTTTAGCATAGGATGGAATGCGAATCATTGCTACTGAGGAATTTTTCCATGCGCTTTCGACTGTATACTCGATCAGTCCGAGCTTAATAGTCATATATACGGCAAGTACACCTCAGGTATGACCAACCGCAAAACGCCAAGAAACTGATATGCTTTGTACACAAGACTTGCATTGAGAGGAAAATCCTGCCTACAGTCATTTCACTCTTCAAACTTAATCCTCAGCTAGTGATTCTTCAAGGTCAGCAGTATAAGTGGTGTACATCCCGGTGATTGCAGCCTGAGCGTCAGCAATTTGACTGGGGAATTGGACTTTAGTAGTCAGGCGCCACGAAGCCAAAAACAAAAACAAACAAACAAACAAACAAAAAAAAAACACGGAGGAAGTAGGGTACATCACATCCGAGACCTCAAAGGACTTTCATCTAAAAATCATTACGAAGATCGGTATTGGTATGTTATTTATAACARAACACTCTTGCAAGATACCATCGACGTTTACTATACGGAGGCTGAACTCTGAGAAATCCTTTAAGTGTTTCGTYCCCAKTGCCCTAGACCTGGTCAGCGAAGAAACACTCACAAATCRACAAACAAAAAACTTTAAATACAAAACGCTGTAGTATAATACTGAATAAAACGGCCAACAAACGGACGAAAAATATATTCAAAATATATGTTACCAGAATTACACCTTCCATTATTTATTGTACGACTAATGGTTGATAGGAAAGCTTTACAAGTACAGCCCATGATGACAGAGAAGGAAATGCAACAAATATGTCTTAAAGACTATATACGACAATATGAGAGAAATTGAATAAATATGAATAAAAAATGCTTGATCTAAGACTACAAATAATGTACTACTCATGATATACTGGAAATTAAACATCAGCACAATATATTGTAAATAATATAATAGACAAATAATTTACATTTTCTTCCTATGTTCCTAAAGAAGATGACTGCTTTCCAAGGTGAGAAAATAAGTTTCCACACGAACGGTCAGATATCGATGATTCGTCACTTCGGATCTTTACATATGTCCGAAGCAGCCAATCACACGGCATATCGTTATAAAATATTCTTAGCACTCGTGCAAAATAATCTAGCTCTTCATTCCTAAACAGTTTTCCAATGAAACCCCATACACTAGTCTCTATAAAAGCTAAACTGGAATTTCTATCTTGCTCAATGCATTGTTTGATAGTAGAGAGGAAGTTTTCCKWGRYTKTGACGTCGTCTTCTATTTGAAGGTAATATTCAGAAAGGCCATCACAGTAATTGAACAAGAAAGCATAATCCAGATTTTGCTTTGAACGCCAGTACATTCTTTCTTGTGAGTCACCAAAAGTTCTGACCAATCCCTTCAGTTTGGGATAAAACGTCCTTGGTGCTTCGATCACGTTGATAAAATTAATGTCAATTAGCTGTTGATATTTWCTGGCCAGTTGTTTYTTTACATTATCTCTTGCTTGTTTCTTTAGATCAGCAAGGAATATAAYGATATGAACTTGTTTCATTTCATYARGCGWTAATCSCGMCAATATRAWATCCAGAGTTTTTTCYAAGTAGGATGCGGTRACGTTCTTGTAGACTCGTTCAATGGTTGGAATTCCTATTGTCAGGAATACTGTTGAAACACATGAAAAAAAGTTTRGACGGAGAAATACTGGGTTTTCGTGAATTTGTCMYAARGACCAGCTACAACAACTAAATCACTTGTCTCTAATCTCGTCAGTGGAAAAAGGAAAAGAAATATGTTGTGCGTGATGTTTGCCCTACATTGCAGCACTGGTGTTGAATTGCGAAGGACGCAGCTCGACTCGCCGTCAAGTGGAATTCATTTACAATTACACATAGGCATGCATGCTGCCSCCTAGATGATTCCAGGAATGTGCGATTTGAAAAAATGCAAAGTCATTCATTCAGTTTTATGTGCTATATTTTTTCATGGTTTTGATCATTAATTTACCTTTCCWCTTCAATCCTGTTCCCATCAGCCTCGTGACGTCTTTATAGATAAGTCGACCAGTGGTCGTACAGCCAACTATCGGTCGATCTGAAGAGAAGTCTGGTTTCACGTAGCTACACTTTTCCCTTGAGTCCATTTGGCTGACTTCATTTGGACAGTGCATAGTATCTGTAAAGCAAACGGCGAACTATACAACTGCCGTTGTTAACCAGGTTTTGAAATATTTTGGTGGGAACCACTCATTAAAATAAGGCTCACTACTCAATCCCAAAAATGTGAGCTAATTGGGCCACGTGGCTTTGAAGTCGATTTTGCTGACTTCATTGTTACAGTGCATCGTATTCTGTAAAGCTCATCCAAATTAAYTGTTGTCAATGACCAAGGTTTTGAAGACTTATATGCTACGTTCTGGTATGTTGTGTTCTGGTGTGTTGTGTTGTGTCGTGTTCGATCTATTGTATGGTATGATATGATGTGGTGTGGTGTGTTGCGGTATAGTGTGGTATGGTATGATATATGGTATTGTGTGTTGTGGTGTGGTTTAATGGTGTTACGCTTTACCTCTACCCATGTGCCACCAAATATGTAGTGCTAAAAGCATGTTCGCCAGGTACATTACCCTACGAGGCACTGGCTTGCTACCAAATAAGAGCACTAAAGGAAACACCTAAAAATACGAAAAGAAAATTTAGGATGTACGTCGGGTTACTTGTAATTATTCTTTTGCTTTCCATGGCCACGGGTTTTTTAGGGGTTAAAAAGATGTAGCTGTGTAAAGACTGATATAAAGAAACGAAAGAAGAAATATATCTGAATAGGACTCATTCTGATAAACAACTAAAACATTTCATTTTCAGCAGCAYAGAATCTATCCTTTGTAACTTTATAGATCCGCCACTGTTATTGCCTTGACCAGCTGGGTCGGGTTAGGATTTTCGAAGTGTAGTTCGGCTCGTGGGTTCCATTKCCATCTGCCTCTGAAAATCTTTCAAAATTTAAATTCAATTCTTGACGAGTAAGTTTGTGGGAGACAATGGCAAATAAAGATTCCATACTCTTGAATGAACGCCAAATTTACTTGTTTTTATATGTCTGTTTCAACATGGTTAAAACACGTTTTTTATTGCTGGCTTCGTCTGTGTAAAAATCAAAATAACGGCTCGAAAATAATTGTTTACGAATATCTACAGAAAAACATCAATCAACATGACTATACAGCTTCATTTCAGTTAAAAAGAAAGAAAGAAGAAGAAGAAGAAAAAAAGATGAGCCGAGAATCAAGATGGCTAAAACAACTATATTCATACCTAAAAAGAAAGAAAAAAAAGTGCTCGAGACGAGATTTGAACCCGCGATCTCTGTTCGACGCCGCTGTTCGAGTATGATCTTGTTTCTAAAATTGAACAAACTTAACAAAACAAATTGCTACAAATTGCTAAAAATCTAACATGACTAGAACACCTATAAAAAAAAAGAAAGAAAGAATTTTTCAGACCTGCTCGAGTCGAGGATCGAGCCTTGGAACTCTGGATTATGAAAAAAAAAATAAAAAAAATAAATAAATAAAGTCGTTAATGAAGATACCTTTAAAGAAGGCATTTCTCTTGTCTTGTGTTCTAGATCTTCTTAATCCCCGCTGATATTTATGAATGATCCTCAGTCTCTAGGCTAGCAGAATAGAAAACCGACTAAAAAATAATGACCTAAGTCAGTGTTGTTTTATCACACATAAAACTGATTTCAAGATATTAAATGCGATTATTTAGAGATTAGTAGCGGCTAATTTGATCCAGACTTTGCTGAAATAGAAATACAATTTTTATAATTTTCATATTGTAGGACGTCCAAAATAATTTCAACTTTTACCCCTCCTTTGACACACAGAAAACACAATGTTTGTTGTAGAGGAATTGATAAGGTCGAATAGACGAAACTAGTTTTCCTCAAACATTGTGTTTAGAAACTCCTTTAAGGTCCAAGTCCGACAAATTTCAAGAATTTTTATAATTGTTGAATTTATGTTTTTTTTTTGTTCAAGGCGTTTTCAAGGCTTAAATCGTGACTTAATCTATTCAAGATTTGATACCTAAACCCACAAACTTATTTTTCAGCTTTAATATTATATTTTAATAGATATATAATTTGCAAACTTCATGGATAAAAGGTTTACCTAAATCAATTAAAACAATAAATACAACGTCAAGCATTCTAATAAATGAAGAAATATTCCTTGGCAACAGTACAGATTGGATTCATTCGCTTGTCGTTTTTAAAAAGTCTGGTTTTCACTACACAAGTCTAATGTTAAGCGAAGCCGTCAACCCCAGTAGTAAATTTAGCAAATATATGATCAATCATCAATATTGTATAACACAATGATTTTGACGATGAAATTGCGCTAAAAATGGTAGATAAGAGGACATACCACGAGAAACTAACATAATTTTTTTACAACAAAAAAATATATATTTATTATATGGTTTGTAAATTTCCTGAATTCTGAGTAGCTGACGCGCGGTCCGTCCAGAGCCGTATTGGACCGTTACTATGGTATCAGTCCTCGATGCGCTCGGTCCGTACTGTCAAGACCTCGGTCTGATATTTTCCCGTACAGACCTCGCGCTCGGTTAATAACCTTTTTATATTCCACAATAAGTTAACAATCCTAGAAAAAAGCACTAATGTGGTATGATTTTCTTACGGTACAGCTCCCARCCAATCCAAAACCTAGAAAATTTACAATAGGTAAAAAACTATATGATGCATATATTACATTTTATCATTTGTAAGTTGAAAAACGTCTTTAATATCAATAACATTGGATTTGCTAATTTCCTTGAGATTGTAACTGAAATACTTCCAGGGAATTTTAAATCCAACTATTATGTTCGTGCAGAATGGTATTTTCATTATATAGCGCTTCCGACGTGAGCCAAAAAAGCTGATCAGAATTTTCTACGACCAAGAAATGAGCAGGACGTGAATAGTCAGAATGGCTATGATAGCAGGATCGTTATGATATAGKGCCGTTATCAAAACCTGAGWGGAGTTCGCGTAGCAACCTGATACAATGCGATATACTGAATTCAAGCCTAGATTTTACTCTTGAAACTTATTGTCCTTTTTTCGTCTTCGCGCTGTCTTTTTGTCTTTACAACTTAACAATACCAATAGATTTATTTATCATGTGGTTTAAAACTAAAGRCACTCRCAAGAAAGTGCCATAAAGGCATCTTGTCAAATTTTGCATCATCCTGTTGTCTCCTTGTTTTCTTTGTAATATATCTGAAAATCTCTAGGTGACTCCAATCAAAATTTTAACTCGAATTCTGTCATATTGGAACTTTTTCATAAAAGCGTTTGCAAGACTGGCGCTAATATCTCCAAYGTTCGATACATTGCGTCTGCATTTGAGTTTGGTTTTCAATGCTGCAACGACAAAGCTTTGACTWACTACAAAATATTGCAAAACAGGTATTTCAAAGAAAGTATTGTTTTCTAATTTTAATTTTCTATACCACACGYATATTGATCGCCGTTTTTGATACCTTTAAAATAGCCATGCCTCTTWTCTTGCTCTAGATCTTCTTAATTCCAGCTGCCTGTTGAAATGCTCGTCTTTTATCAAACGAAAACAAAGTTACTCCTCACCGTTGTTTGTATTTGGCTACGCGATCAATCCAGACAAAATCAACCAATGATTGATTGATTGATTGATTGATTAAAAATAGGTCTAGATCTTCATGCGCTTCTGGTTGGCTTATTGTCCATGTAATCGTCGTTCTGTTCTAGTTTTCTCAAGGGATTTAACAGCAATGCAAAAACGGGTTAAATAGGGCAATTGATACGGTTCAAGCGATTATATAGACACTAGACATAAGCGGCTTTTTTTATAGTGAATAAATACTATACTTATTTCGCAAGAAATAGTTGCTTAGCAATACAAACGATATTTAAAAAAATGCTGCTTGTTATTACTTAAAGAGAGGAAGGAAATTTCAACAGACAGGGAGGATTRAGAAGACCTAGAAAACAAGATACATGGCTAGAGTGGATTTCGTATGAGTGGGAAACGGACGGTACTGTATTGTGACCGTAATCGTACTGTAACCAAATTCTAGTGCCCCATTGCTTCACCAAAATTGTGAAGGCCAGGTCCGGTAAMTGTGCGGTAACCGTGCGGTAACGGTGTCCCACTCATACGAAATCCGCTCTATTTTAAAGGTAAATGTATCAAAACAGACAATCACAAGCCCTTCCTTACATAATTGCATTTAATACTTTTCGAAAGAGGGTTAAGATAGCCTACGTCAGATCTGGTTTAATTTGCCAGGTTAGGGTTACGAACGAAGAAAGTGTTTTCCTGTTACTGGCAGAAATTGTAATTGGGAGGTGCTAAAACGAAGTTGTTTTCCTGACAATTTGAGATAAATATCTGCTTTGGGCGTCGAATTATTCCTGATAAAACCTGAATAAAARCTAAACTTTTYGCATAGCGGCTTTTACTGATKAATATAAGGCAGTTGTTCATCAGGCCGATCATGGTGACTTCATATGATAGAATCAGTTGTAAAGTTTCTATTGCGTATGTTACAGGGTTTCTTGTCTAAGACAAGACAAGACTCTTGTAACTGTGGGATTTACTCAGGAAGAGCCGGTACTGGATCAAGATACTTTTAATACTAAACTTCGAAGAGATGTTATACACGCTGGGTTTAGTTACCAACTAACCCTGTACAAGATGTGAATCTACCTTTATAGTGAATATTTTACAAGTCAGGGTGACAGCAAATTGGCAGGCTGCATTGCTATACGATTGGATATAGTATAAGCCTGACATACTAAAGTTTGATTTGCTAATAAGATGTTCAGCCAAGGCTGAGAGAGAAAAGGGTYAAACAATTGGTCACTCAATAACAAGAACAATTAGTAAAACATGCTTAGACCATGTTTTTAATAACTTTCGCTTGAGGATTCATTCTTTGCGAGTTATTGATTTTGGCTTAGCAAACCGCTTACCTGTCTTCGCTGTGCGTTCCTACATGGGTGCAGGGCGGCGGGCGTTCGCGTGAAAAGTCACACACCTTCACTTATAGGAACATGAAGAGTTTTAATGAGACCAAATTTTTAACTACTCTACGCGAGATCCCCTGGGATGCAGCTTTCATTTTTGATTCCATCGGACGATATAGTCAGCGCGTGGGAGAATTTGTTTAACAATGCATTAGATACACACTGTCCTTTGGCGCGAAAAACGAGTTTCGCGCGAAAAACAAGCTCCCTGGTTTACAAGAGACAATCCAATAGCCGACTTGCGAATTACGCATAAATAGTCACATACAAAGGAATCAAGACGAGGCGCCGTGCTTTTTTGTGAAAAATCTATTGTCTTTAGCACGGCGCCTCGTCTTGATTCCTTTGTATGTGACTATTGATGCGTAATTCGCAAGTCGGCTATTA